CATTTACACTGTAAATGTTGCAATTTAGGCATTCGCATTGCAACCGCCCATTTGTACTGCAAACCCCCACTCCCCACCATATCCAACTTCTGAAAGCATTGTGGGCCTCTGGTTTCTCTGATCTTTTTCGGCGCAAAACAATGCAAACAAAAAGCCCAATTACTTCCGGCGGGGCGCGCCCCTGAATGAAAGCAGCACACACACACACTCTTAGATACATAGCTCAACCGAATAAGCATAAAATTTTGGAAGCTGGATCACGAACACATTGACGCTTTATGATACTGCATTAGACGACCTGGCAACTCGCCTGTGGAAATGGCCCTGCTCACAACGGAAATGTGAAAAGGTCAGCAACACAATATTGTTTAAAATCACTCAAGATCTGCAGGTACGTTGATTTGGCGCCCCAAATCGATATCACCAGCGCACATGCAGTGTCTTCGTTGGTGCAAGACTGGATGCGCTGCTTGCACCCCCTGCTGAACATCTTTAGAAACAGAATGTGACACACACAGTGCGCTGTGGTCGGCGCTCGGAGAAGAAGCGGCATTAGCGCTATAGTGCAGAAACATCACATTGGACAGTTTAAGCCATACTTAGGCTCACTAGGCGTCATTATATAGCCTTTTAGTGAAAAACAACGTATGGGACGGGACAGCTTTAAGCCTTAATTGCTTACGTTCACCGGGTCTTGGAACTCTTAGAGACAGAGTGCTCTAGTGGAAGCCGGCTGTCACTTGACAAAAAGGAGACCTGGTTACGCACTTAAAAAGCCTCTAGAGGAGAGTCAGACCTAGGTTAGAAGGAGAAACAAAAAGGCAGGAGAGCGCGAAAAGAAACGAGCCTCAAGAGCAACCTATAACAAGCCTGAAGAAACGCCTAACAAACGAAGAAAAACACAGGAGAGAAAAAGGGCGGGTGTGTGTGTGTGTGTGATGCACATTTGGTCATCAAACCGGGGCCGGCGCTCCCTTGACTGAAAAAACCTCAGTTACACCTAAAAAGTCTTTAGCAATGAACGAAAGCCTAGAAAGAGGAACCAAAGAAAAGAGAGAAAGCGGGTTAAAAAGGGAACCCATGCATGAATTGCTCAGAAGCGTGCAGTGAATTACCCGAATGAAAGAAACGATGAAACTGTCTGATTTTCTGTTTGTGAATCTCCATGGACTCGGCAGTATCATTTCAACATTCTCAAGCGAAAGCCATTGATCAGTTCATGGCTCACAGTGCAAACGTGGAAACGAAGAAACCTGAAGGCTGCAACTTTGATTTCAGCGCCCCGTAGGGATCACACAGCGCACCCAAGTGGGATGATGCGGCTGGTCACACTTGGATACATATAGCTCAACCGAATAAGCATAAAATTTCGGAAGCTGGATCACGAACACATTAACGCTTTACGATACTGCATTAGACGACCTGGCAACTCGCCTGTGGAAATGGCCCTACTCACAACGGAAAAGTGAAAAGGTCAGCGAAACAATATTGTTTAAAATCACTCAAGACTCAAGATCTGCAGGTGCGTCGATTTGGCGTCCCAAATCGATACCACCAGCGCACATCCAGCGTCTTCGCTGGATGCAAGACTGGATGCTGAACATCTACAAAGTTCTCTTAGAAACAGAGTGTGGCACACACACACACACGCGCAAACTCAAATTTGCAGAAGCATCTGTCTCTATAGCGAACACACATACTATACCCAAATGTCTCCACCAGCGGCAAATTCCAGAACTATCAGAAATATGTCCGAAACATGCAACAACAAAATTTCATGGTTTTAACGTGCGTTTGCTGTACAAGTGAGGGTTTTTGCGATAGAAAAGGGCGCGTTTTCACAGGTGCCCGTTCGCGACCGAATCTGTGAAACGGCGCCGAACATAACTATGGCGATTGCGTGCGTGAGCAAAACGCATGGGACATGTCATTGATGCGCATGGCTCATGAGTGAGCAAGGTTAACCATGGTTCATGGTTCATGAGTGAGCAAGAATCGTGACTTGACCAAGCCATGCGTGTGCAGACGGAGCTCACTGGAACGCGCGGACCAACCTTGTACATGTCCTCAACGCGAGCTCAGCCGGTATGCGGACGTAAAGACTTGCAGTACCTCCCCGAGCCCTTAAGTCGCAAGGCTGACGTCCCCAAGGAAACGGCATCCAATCTGCGATCAACAAAACATCATATCCCTTGCCTTAAGACCACCAGGGGGCCACCCACCTCAAAATACCCACCTCAAAAATAATGAACAATTATTTTGAGGTGGTCACACCACCTCTGTTGTAAATACTCTTCGGGGTGTCAGACCCTCTCAAATAATTTGACTAGTTTCTTGTTTTCTTTAAAAGACCTCCAAACTTGGAAGATTTGGAAGATGCTGAGGGGGGGGGTCCTGGGGAATTTGTTTCCAACAGCCAGAAAACATGAACATATAGAAGCAGTCATTGAAACGCGCACCACCAGCAAAATAGTTTTTCTCGCGAAAGGCAAGACATTGCCAGATGGTCTCTAACCCCCAACACGTCCTTTGGACGCAACGTCCCGAAAAGCCCCAAGGAGATCTTCAAGATCTCAGATTCACAGGAATCACATGGAATCACTTTGATTCCCCTATTGCATGGTCATAATTATTTCGCTAGGTGGTCACCTTTTATGTTGAAATTATTTTACACCACCTTGACCTTTTGTTTATAAATATTTTGCTTCTCCCACCCACCACCCACCTGACTGAAATAGTTAGGGGTCGTAATTATTCTGTGAAATCTATTTTGGAGGGTCACCCCCACCGCCAAATAATTCACCAAGGCATGCGGCACGGGGTATAAAATCTCCCACCTGGAGATCAGTTTTCAGATGGTTTCAGAATTGCAATCGCTCTATTCTTCGACCCCCTTGAAATTGTACACGTTTTCAGGGTTACATCCAACAGTGCCTGCAAATCGATTGCCGCTCACCCAGGTCTTATACCGATCATGCATATTGTAAACTTTCTTGCAGCCACTCTGTGTGTCGACCTAGAGATATCAAGCGCGATAGTGCATGAATGAGAGGAAACAAGGAACCTACATTGTTGGATGCAAGTTGGGCTCCCTGAAAAATGTACCCATTCAAGAGGTCGAATCAAGTGATTACAAGTTACAAGAGACTATACAAAATGCATGGTGACCTAGAGATGACAAGCACCATGCAGTGGATGAATCTCATTATGTGATGTCTAATTTTGAACTGTTTGCATCACCAGGTCACAGGTCCATGAAAGGCACGCCAACGATTCCTTTCAACAGTTTGGAGGCACTGCAAACATACCATAACATACCACTTCATGTCCTGTCCCAGATCATGTGGCACACCACCTCATCAAATGTTTCAAAGCCTCCCATGTCCCATGTTCCACGTTTTTGCTGTTTTCCTTAAGCAGTGTGGAGCACACTTAGGGGTTCCTACGGTAATAGAAAAGCTGTGCTTAGATCACTGTGCCGCGCGGGCTTGTGCAGCTGATTCGCTGCTATATACAGTGCATTCATGCCTCCCAAAAATCCTCGAAGTGCATTTCGACTGCACGTGGCTCGCCAAATCTGAATGTCTGCGGCGGGTGCTTCTAACGACTGCGCTCTCGTTGTGGTGCCGCGCGCATTTTCGCACATGGTGGTGACTTTTTTGTGGCAGGCACAAGGGAAACCTCGTTTTTTGGTTCTCCAAAGTCGACTTTTCGTGACAGGTAGTTTTCGTGGCAGGTGCAGCGCTTTGGACACGGTGGTGATCGTCGAGGAGCTCAGATTTCGTGACAGGTGCAGTGAATCGTGACTTTTGGACAGCTCGTTTGCAGATTTCGTGGCAGGCACAGCACTCTGTGACCTCGAGGTGCAGATTTCGTGGCAAACGCAGCACTTTGTGAACCTCGAAATGCAGATTACGTGAGCAGGTACAGCACTTTGTGAACCTCGAAGTGCAGATTTCCTGGCAGGCGCAGTACTTTGTGAACCTCGAAGTGCAGATTTCGGCGGAGGCGCAGCACTTCGTGCTCTGAAATGCATTTTTTTTGGTGTTTCTTCTGCCCCCACTTCTCTAAACACACGTCATGATGCAGGATATGCATGTCCGCTCGCTCAAAGGAAAAAGGCCTTCCCCTCAGACTTTCGGCCCTCAGCACCTTCGATGCGGGTGGATTTCTTAGCCCTTCCCATGTTCAATTTCCTATTTGAGCGTCTGCCAAAACGTACTGTCAAGTAGACGACATGATTCAGCAAGGTTATCGCTTTTGAGGGGGGGAAACCAATTATTGCTTTTACTGGTTTTAGCCCCAATGTCAACATAGCTGAACATATCAAACGCCGCTGGGATACAGTATGGTTATCGCTTTTGACGGGGGGGCTCTCACCTTTGCAGGTTTTAGCCACATTCCCAAAATTCACCACAGCTCTTCACTGAATTAGTCATCGCACGTTTTGGCGGTGCCTCATCCTTTTTTCATCTCAATCTCTCTACACATTACTCTAGAAATCTCGACTTGTCTTTGCTGTCCTGTAGTAGTCTCTGTATACTTGTCCAGAAATCTGGGAATTATATGTTTCTGAAGTCTCTTCTGACATCTCCATACTCAATGCTTTTGCATGTTTTTTCATTATTATTGCTACAAAGTGCCCCCCCAAAAAAATGTTCGATTTGCCAATGCAATTAGCACCCAAGTGTTTCTGGTCCTTGCCAGTCGCAAGTGTTACTTGTTACTTCCTGCGCTCTAGATCTTCCAGCATGCTGCACCAAGAAGAGTACCGCTTGCAACTGTCAAGTTGAGCCAAGCACTCTACTACCTATCTGCCACTCGTGCAAATCTTTTCTACCCGAGCAAAGCAGGGAGGGATCTGGAGGGAGGGCAAATCAGAACTGCTTGAGCTACACCAATCCCAGCGCAAACAAGCTGACACGTATCAAACTGTGCCTACAAACAAGGTCAGCAAACAAGAACCCTGGCCTGTGGAATTGTTCCTAAGTTGCTCTGGCTTAGCTGCTGACGTGCTCAAGCTCCACCATTACAATCTGGTCAGCCTCTTCTTGCTCGACATTCAAATCCTGCATTTAGATGAGAAACTTGAAACATCATTGAAGCACTGCCCCAATCCAACCAGCCCTGAACACCAGCAAATTAAATGACTACTAAACCATACAAAACTCCAAGGCGTGGCTCTGCCGGTGCTGTCTGAGTTTTATCGATGCTTTCCTGTCCCATATTTTTTGCCCTTGTTGTCTTCACTACACGCTGACAGCTAAATCATGCTAAAGGTAGCTGCCGTTTCGCCCCTGCAGTCGTGATCTGGTTCTTGTTCCGGTTCCATCTCTGGCTCTGCTAACACCTGAAGCGGCCAAGACGTTAACGGCTGAACGCAAGCGCACGGTAAGAACATCTTAAAGCGCAAAAATCAAAACACATGCAAAAAACGAAAGTTCTACTGGTAATAAATACTATCAATTTACGACCGGAATCCAATGGACTCCTACAGGGACCGACCAGCGACATCCGGATATCTGGATTGTTTCGGAAATGAATTAGGTTGGTTGGAGGCCATCGCTATTTAACTCAATAGAATATGACTGTGTTATTTTTCATAGCCAACTTGTGATCCGAGTCTCGCCCCTCCCAGCCCTTCCACTACGGGTGTACTCAAGGGTGTGTATGTACGCCAAACGACTAATTGATGAACAAAACATCCACCACAGAGCTGAAAAACTTGAATAAGCCACGGCCTGAACTCCAAGTCTGACGTCTTTTAGATAAATGCCTAATTCAAACGCCAATCAAGATAGATGCAAGACATTTCTTGAATTTTAGGCACACATTTTGTCGAGAAGTGTCCGAAAATGTGCGAAATATCATTGGGAAGATTTACTGCAATCTGTGACAATAATCATCAGGATCAAAAAGCCATAATCAAAAGAAACAGGAGCAGTAATCAGTAAAAACAAAATATCCAAAAACTTAGTCCTGACCAGGTCCCCTGGTCCTTAGGCGCCCTGGTCCTCCTTCGGTCTCTTGACCTAGTCCCTTGGTCTCCTAGTCCGCTGGTCTTATGGTCCTTCAGTCTTGGTAGTTCCCTAGTAGAAAGATAGCTTCCCAGCGGGGTGCTAGCTCGCTGGTAGGCAATTCCCAGAAGGGGGATAGCGCTGTCTATACTTGGTTTGCATTGCGGGGGAGGCACCCCCCTCCCGTACTCTTTATATAGTAGTTCCCACTACCGTCCACCACCCCTACCATTGCCAGTACCTCTATCACTCCGACCACCCCACTACAAGTCTTACCACGGCTACCGCAACTACTAATTTCTTTGCGTCGATGCTGCCACAAAGGTGGACGATAAGGCCCACCTTCGCCGAGCAGGACAGCCAGAACCCTTCGTTTAGTAGGAAGCGCTGTGCCCTACCCCTACTACGTCTACTACTTCTACTACCTACCACTACTACTGCTGCTACTACTTCTACTACTTTTGCTACCTACCACTACTACTGCTGCTACTCCTTCTACTACTTCTACTACTTCCACTACCACTACCACTACCACTACGACTACGACGACTACTACTACTACTACTACTACAACCACGACCACTACCACTACCACTACCACTACTACTACTACTACTACTACTACTACTACTACTACTACTCCTTTCCCCATTCTATTGTTCTTCGCTGTGAATATTTTGTTGATCCTCTTCTTTTTTCTGTTTGATCACTCTTAAATACATTTTTTGATCCCTCACCCATCAAATACTGGTGTGACCGGCGCTTCCACATTTATCGACTCACAAACATGACGGAACTTTGGGCATTCAAGCACTCAGTGAGCATGTGTGTCTTCTTGACAGCAGAACTCACACGATGTTGTTTGGGCACTATCCCAAGTGTCTTTGATGGCTGAAATTTCAGAGATTTCCATCGGTCAAGTTTTTTTCCGGCGCCGTGCCGGAAGCCTACCTTCCTTTCCGGCGCCCTGCTGGAAGCCTACCTTCCTTTCCGGCGCCCTGCCGGAAGCCTACCTTCCTTTCCGCCGGAAGCCTACCTTCCTTTCCGGCGCCCTGCCGGAAGCCTACCTTCCTTTCCG